AAAAGAAAACAAATGAGTTTATCTCACTGAGGAAGGACGAAACCTTCAGGATGTATTTTAGAACTTCTATAGAGCACAGTACAAATCATGAGTGAATATATTTTATTTAAAAACATGTTACTGACAGAAATCTATCAATAATAATGTGAGTATTGTGAAGGGCCTGTCAATATTAATGTAATTATGATTAAGGGGATAACATGGATTTTAGCTATAATACCAAGTAACATCTCCTACATTGCCGCTATCAACATGCACATTATTATTGACCTGTTCCAAGACTCAGTACTAGATATATTACCATTAAACATATTTGTCAATGCATACTGCCTACAAAATTTCTACATTTAAATTTATAGTCTTGTAAACTTTGTTAACAGAAACATGTGACTTCCAATTAATCTCTAAATTATCATATGCACAATACACTCCCTGCTAGGCTGTTCTTTTGCAGACAACAATCAACTGATTTGCAATATGACAATGTCGTTTTCACACTACTTTAAATATTCTAGCAATCAAAATTGATAGGACTATATATTTGTTTTCTCTAGATATTTAAGTTTTAGACTAAAATTTCGTATTATGAGGTCATCTGAATTAAATTCCATGACTAAAGATTTTAAGTTTTGAGTCTACACTCTACTATTTTATTTCCTTTGTGCAGTCAAATAGATTTACCGGCCATTGTATTGAAATCAATACTAATAAACGGGACATGTATCAAAGAGGGATTTAACAGGATACTGATTCCAAGAACACATTTCAAACATGGAGAAGAGAGAAAAAGCTATGGCTGAGTGTCCATTAGGAGACTCTGACCTCTGGCACTTTGAATAAGCCTAGAAATCAACTCTTAAATTCAAATTCCACTTTTGCCACAGACTTGCTGAGTTGTCACTACTCTGTTGCTACTCCTTTTGTACCATACAAAAACTAAGTTTCAATGACAGATAATTAATGCTTATAGATAGATGATGCTATAAATCCCAATGCTGCTCATTTGGCTATAACCAAGTCATGAGCAATTTTAAAACTGTGTTAAGGACATTAGCTCACTAAATTCCTCTAAAGAAATCTTCATTAAAATCCAAGTTGGATTTTGCTTTTTTGGGTGTGGTAGTAGGTTTGATAAAACTTTTCTCAAATAAATATGAAAAATAAATTTCCAAATAGTACACATTTTTCAAAAAGATGAACAGTGATAAGTAACTTGTCACAGAGGGGGGAATTTCTTTCCATTAGGAGACAGGAAGAAATTCAAAACAAATACAAATGCCAAGACTATAGTTAGTCTTACATAATAAATGAGTGCCTTACTTACTTTAGCTACAGTGTATTTGTTCAAGTATCTAAAACTAATATAAAATGGCATTTTTAACCTTAAAACAGAATTTACAACACCTTGACCTAGCTTTACAAATTCATTTTTAAGAGAATAAAGAGGATATTTCATACTCTTCTTTGATAGACTTGGTATTTGAGTCTGTAGGACAGAAAGCACACTGCAAAAATGAAAGAGATGCTGAGTTAATATGGGGAGAAAGTGTGTTAAACAGGCTCTGATTAGTTCTGTGTTGCAGTCCAGGATCACAGGTTGTGCAACTTTAGACAATTCATTTTACCGCACTGTATTCACGCACAGGAAGGAAAAAAGCAACTATAAAAATAGTCTACCTAAAAATCCTGATAGAAATTGTATTAAGAAACTTTGGAAGAAGGAAGTTTTCTAAAACAGCCATTTTCAATTGCAGAAATGGTAATATTGAACAGTAACTTTTGAGAGGGTAAAGTAGAGAAATCTGAGCAGGACATGTAGGAAAGAGTCTTTACACCAAGTAAGAGCAAGGCATTAAGAGAATCCCAAGGAATGTGTTCATTTGTAATAATAATAAGCACTTAGCAATCACAGGTTACTGAACACTAACTGACTACTATAGCTAAATGCCTTGCACAAAATTAAGTAATTTCATCACTTAATCCATATAATACTACGATGTTCTTTTCTATTCTAAACTAAGGATGCTAGGGCACAGAAAGGTTTTCCCATGTGTATAAAATTACACTGCTAAAAGTGGAAGAACCATGAGCCAAACCGGTGTGCTATACTGACAAAGCGGTGATAGGCCCATTTGGGAAAAAGAAAGACTTTAGGGTGGTACCACACGACCCACAGATAGTCACAGTAAGACACTAACTATTAAGAGTGGAGGCATGATGTACAGCAAATAATTCCCATGAAGCAACTAGATCTTTAAAAATACTGTATTCTATAAACTCAGGAAAGGTCTTAGAATCTACTTAAGAATTCAAAATGACCTGACAATTAGTAGATCACGCATTTAACTGCACCTTTTATGGCACAAGAGAAAGTGAAAATATCCCCAAAGGAACAAGAGTAGAATAAAAGTGGAATAGAAAGAACAGCTTATGTGACACATATTATGTGTGATGAACTATGTATTTCCTTTACATTATCTCATGGAAGCCTCATAATACAGTATCATCATCTCCATTTTTAAAAAAAGATGAAGATTAAAGTTTAAGAAGACTGATCACCTAAGATGAAGCTGTAGATCAGTGAAATTTTGGTAAATATTGGAAAAATTATAGAACATCATAAAAGAAGTTAGAAAAATGGATATTAAATAAGGTCTGACAAAATTTAATACCACAGAATACAAAGCAAATATTTTTATCTTCCTAATTATTCAGTTATGACTTCCAGTTTCACAAAACATGGGAACAGAAACTAGATATGTGGTAAAGTTGCCTAAACTGACTGGGACGCATGGCACGTACATTCCCTTCCCCCTTTCTCTCTATACCTGTGGTCAAAGAAGCATTCACAAGCATTTACTGTCAAATCTGAATAACGGGCACGCACAGATAAAAAAAATGAGGTGTGACCATTCATTTAACTATTACAAACACATACTAAATGTTAAGTAAAAGTAATGCCAATTTTATCCACTGAACACTGGAAAGGCATGATCAAAACAGAATTACTCTAGAGTAACCGGTTTTTGTCTTTTAACAGTAAGAAACAAGAAAGGACAACTTGGATGGAATTTTATCTCACCTTATTGGCAGGAAGGTAAAGAAGGGAAAGCTCTGATTAAAAAGAAAATATATTAGAAAAGCAATACAGAAAAGGACATTCTGATTGTAGTTGGGCATATACCAGAAAGATCAATAGGCATCATCTCTTCTGCCCCTTAGGTAAGCACACCTCAGGGCTAGGCTTAAAAAAGCAGTGCCAGGACCGCAAAGACAGGGCAAATGGTGCAATCGGGGTTTTCCGCCTCAGGCTTCTGGCATACCCTGAAGGAATGGAACTGGGGCGCAGAATGTTTAGACATACTAGCACTTCACAGGAAAAACTTAAAGGAAATACGCCATTTGCTTCTTGGTTGTCCAGCCAGATCAAAAGGGGAAAAAAATAAAATTCAGAGTAGAACTTTTGTCCAGAAATAAAGATTGTGCCTATGGCACATATATTCCTAATGTTACAGGAGCCTGAGCCTGGTGTGTAAGGGGGACATGAAGAAAACCTGGAAGTTACTTGATGCCGTGAGGAAGCCATGGGGCTCAGACTCTGAATCTTATCAAAGATGTGATGACGGGCAGACAGGCCTGCTAACACTTTTAAAGTTTTAAGGTTCAGCTAAAGTGGACAATACCTGCCCGATCCACGAGAAAAACTTTTATGGCTAAAATAAAAAGAGTATGGGCAATAAAGGCAAGTAAGGAATTACGATTCTGATCATAAAGAAAGGATTTGAAACATCTATAGAACAAATGAAATTAAATATGGACATCGTTTTAGAAAACTCTAAATCAAGTGAATATATGTTGAATACAAATAACTGTCCTAAGAAACAGAATTTTAATGCTAGAAGGAAAAGTAGAAGGTATAAAATTAAATCTTCACAGGACCCTGTTATAAAAGCAGAACACACGAAGAGCTGCCCTTGTTAAAATACAGCTGCCAGTCTGCGTGCTTTGGTTTTCCTCAGCATGGTTCCAGAAAACTTCTACAGTTCTTTTACGGAACAACTTTAAACCACAGACTGAACGTTACCTTCCATTTCTAAGAATGAGGGGAATAAGGCCAAGACGCAAAGGTGGTCAAAGGCAAGCCAGAATCAGGACTAGAACCCGAGTCTCTTGATTTCATTTAATACTCAATTATATCCTGTTCTCTTTCATTTTTTTCTTCTTTGTGTAAAGAAAAAAAATGAAAGGCTCTTCTGTTGACTCTGTAATTAATTCTGCTGTCTCTCTTCTTTCAAATCTTCTGGTTTAACTAATTCAACTCTAATCTAGTAATTGATAATGTGGGTGAGATCAGAGAAGAGATCAAAGAAAAGGCAGTCACCCCAAGTTCATTCTGTTCACATTTACACGTGACACACCGGTTGGAAGGTGTTTACAAACTGTGTGCGCGCGTGCGTGTGTGTGTGTGTGTAGCCACGGTCTCCCTAACTGCTTGACAGTGTCCACATCACCAAGAGGCGCCATGCAAGAATACACAACAGTCTTCACCCACTTGGTCCCATTTTGAGAAAAGCCCTTCGTTAAATGTGCGGTGTAAGGAAAGTGGTACGTAATCAACATTCTCGAGGGTCTCAGCAAAACTGCTAATGATTCTCCCAGTCCTTAAGACAGGGACAAGCGAACGCTCACAAGCAATTCCGTAAGAACATTCTGAATCCCTCCTCCACCAGAAGACCAACACTGGTCTTCAGCCAGCGCACGCTCAGCGGCGCACACGGTGAGGCTGCAGCCGTTCTGGGGAGCAGAGGCGCGCGCGCTCACACCGCGCGGGAACCGGGCGGGAGCGCGGCTCCGCTCCTAGTGCGCGTGTGCGCGGCCGGCCGCGGAGAGCGAGGGCACGCGCGCCCCTCCGTGCAGCGCAGAGCGGCTCACTGTGCCGCGGCGAGCCGGTTTTTTTAATGCAGCCATTCTAAGACATTCTTGGGGCGCCCTGGTTTGCTTTACTGCTTTTCCCGAAACCAGAAGCTGACGTTTCTTCCCGGAAGCCGGAGCCCAGGGCCGCCGAGGGGGGCGCGCGGAGCCAGGCGGGGCTCCGGCCGGCCGCGGCGACCTGGGCGCGCTCTCGCCTCGCGCGGGCAGACACTGACCTTGGCGGCGCGGCGGCCGCGGCCGCTCCGCGGAACTTTCTCAGGCCCATTCTCTGGAAGGCTCGCCTTGTCCGCGGCCAGCGCGGCCTCCTCGGGCTTCCGGAACTTGCGGGCTTCCGGAGCGACGCGGGACCCGGAAGTGGTTAAGGGGGGCTCACACCAGCGAGAGCAAGGAGGGAGCGCCCGAGCGGGCCCAGCCAGAGCGTGAGGGACTGGGCGAGCCGAGGGGCCGAACAGCCGAGGGGCCGAGGAGCCGAAGGGCCGAACGGCCGAAGGACCGAGCAGCCGAAGGGCCGAGGGGGCCGACGCGGACAGCCGGGCATGGTGATTGGTCGGGAAAACCCTTCCTGATTGGCCGAAGCGGCACGAGCCGTCGGCCCCGGCCGGGCGCCAGGCGCGCGGAGGTGGTG